TTGAAGCTCATACAGTTTAATAGATGTCGACATCTAATTGGTCATTAGTATATGCATTTACAAATGCAATTGACCATGATTATTTGAAATTGGTAAAGAAACGAATTGTACATTGACTTGAAGTCAACACACATAAATTGTGGAGCCTTTAGTACAAAAGTGGGTAAAATCATTGCGGTAAATTTGAATGCCTTTTGAAAATATATTTTTATGATGCAATCACTTTATGATGGTATTCAAAATACTTGACATGCATCATATGGATGCTATTACAATTACCGCATATCTATATGGATCATAAAATCAATAAATAATTGAAAATGCTTGAAGCATATAATAAGATGTCTCATGTGTTAGACTCTACGAATGGTCCATTTTCAATAATATGGTATTGTCACCTTAGTGAATACCTTGTTTACAAAAGGAATAATCAAGTAAATTTATCACTATTATCATTTGAGGTGACTTAAATCTTGTGGAGACTCTAATGTCTCATGTCGAAATCAGGGGGAGCGTTATCAATAGTTCCAACACTGTACTATTTTTCCTTCGTTCAAGTTTTTGTCCCATTGAGTTTTTCTTGGCAAGGTTTTAACGAGGCAGTGTCACGCTCACAAGCTTCAGATGGATATGTACTCTTTTTCCTTCGTTTAGGTTTTGTCCCATCGGGGTTTCCTAACAAGGTTTTAACGAGACATACTCCATATATGGTGGACATCCAAGGGGGAGTGTTATGAACTCTTAAAGGAGTGGATGACCACCATTACTCACCATCATCAATCACCATCACTCCCACTATTATCACACCATAATACCTATTGATGATCCTATTATGGTCTTGTAACTCATGACCTTTGAGAGGTCTTTTCTAGTGCTATATATAGAGCACCATATAATGTGTTTGTACACTTGAAGAGATGGAATAAGATATTACACATTCTCCCTACTTTGTTCTCTACTTCTTCTATATTTTTAATTAGTTTCTGAACACAAATAACCTTTTTAGAGGAATATTACATAGAATCATAAAGATTCCATAAAAGTAATAGGGGGACTGTGCAAGAAGCAACACTACTCATGAGGATTTTCATAATTAGATCTTTCCTCATGAGGTTTCGCGTAATTTGACCTTTAAAAAATTATATCATTTTAATATATTGAACAAATTAAATTTTCTTTTCCATTATTTTATCAAAAATATGTTTTATTTTTAAAACAAAACGCAGGGATGTTCTGGCTTCTGGGCCACACAAAATGAAATATAATATTACAAAATATTTTCGTAATTAGACATTTTCTTATAGGGTTTCTCGAGATTTGATTATATCACTTTATTATAGGGGCACTTTGAGAAAAATCCCTCATTATAGAGACTCAAAAAAGTACACACCCATTTTCAGTCATTATGTTTACCAATTTTACCAATTTTCTTAATCGACTATGCTTGATAGTCGATTTACCGATTTTTTTTATTCGTTTTTTTTTTCTCCTTTTCTGTATCAGTTTTATTAATCCACTATGAAGCATAGTCGATTAGGGTAAATCAACTATCAAGCATAGTCGATTAAGAAAATTCTTTAAATTTTTTTTTAATTTGTTTTTTTAATATTTTTTTTGTTTTTTTAATTTTTTTTCTACATCAGGTAAATTAATCGACTATGGTGAAGCATAGTCGATGAAGAATCTGCTACTAAAAATAACAAATCACAACTACAAAAAAAGTGAAAAATAACCTATATTTTACAAAAAGAAAAAATATACAAACATTATAATTGATGTATACAATTGATATCAATAAAAGAAATACAAAAAAAAAATGGAGTCGATCAAACCTTAATCGACTATCAGAGCATACTCGATTAGCTTAATCGACTATGATGAAGCATAGTCGATTAAGAATCTGCTACTAAAAATAACAAATTACAACTGCAAAAAAATACAAAATCAACTACATTTAACAAAAACAAAAATATTCAAACATTATGATTGATTTATACAATTGGAATCAATAAACAAAAAATTCATAAAAATAAATAAATAAATTGGAGTCGATCAACCTTAATCGACTACCAAAGCATAGTCGATCAACCTTAGTCGACTACCAAAGCATAGTCGATTAGCTTAATCGACTATAGAACATGTACATACCGATTAAGGTTCCAGTCTGCGCGAATTTCTCTACACGCGCCGTCATCCGCCTGATCCACAAAAAAACCCTAAATCTGCCTCCTCATCGTCAGTCGTCACCACACCCCGGCCCCGCCACACCACACTATTCAACCAATCCCTAACAAGAATAAACTAAATAAAATATATAATTCATACAAAAAAAAACACAAATTAGCATTTCAATGTCCACAAAAAAAAAAAAAAAAAAAAAAAAAAAAACAGGAACGATTTAAGGTATTTGCCAATCATTGTAGTTCACTCCATAAACAATTTCTGAATGTATGACAAAACCAACACTAAAAAAATACTAAAAATAAAACAAACAAACAAAAATAAAAAAAACAAACCACCACCGCCAACTATAGATTCGTCACCATCCTTCACGCGGCGGCGGGAGGCAGCGGCAAATACTCTTCCACCACCACCGCCGTCTGTCGCCGTCAAACATTCTTCCAGAGTCGCTGTCTGATCTCCTTCTTCAACGACGTCTTCCTTTTCCTCCGAATTTCAGTCGAGAAGAGAAGAGAGAAGATGAGAAGATGAGAGAAGGAGAAGAAAAAAAACGGCAAATGAAATGGGTTAGGGTTCTGAAACGTGAAAATGAGATTTAATATCAATAAGGGTGGTTTGTGAATTATTGAAATAGCATTTGAGTGAAATATTAGCTAATGGGATTTTCTCTAATTATTTTTTAGAGAGGGTGTTTCCTTAACTATATTTTATAGATGGGGGATTTTCTCTAATTTTCTCTTTATTATATTGAACAATTGAAATTTTCTTTTCGATTATTGTAGAGGTGTGAACGAGCCGAGCTCGAGCTCGAGCTCGAGTCCATGTCGCCGAGTTCGAGCTCATCGAGTCAATTTTTTTTGGCTCGAGCTCGAGCTCATTTACTTTTTTTTTATTTAATTTTTTATTAAAATTTATTTATAGGAAAATAAAAAAAATTATAAAATAAATAATGAACTCTAGTTATATTTTTTTTAATTTTTATATTATTATTATTATAATATAATATGTTTGTAAAAATAAAATGTTCAATATAAAAATATAAATAGAATGTGTTGACAAACAATTGAAATTTTCTTTTCGATTATTGTAGAGGTGTGAACGAGCCGAGCTCGAGCTCGAGCTCGAGTCCATGTCGCCGAGTTCGAGCTCATCGAGTCAATTTTTTTTGGCTCGAGCTCGAGCTCATTTACTTTTTTTTTTTTTTTATTTTTTTATTAAAATTTATTTATAGGAAAATAAAAAAAAATTATAAAATAAATAATGAACTCTAGTTATATTGTTTGTAAAAATAAAATGTTCAATATAAAAATATAAATAGAATGTGTTGACAGTGGGATTCGAACCCACGCCCTTTCGGACCAGAACCTTAATCTGGCGCCTTAGACCAACTCGGCCATATCAACTTTGTGAACTAATATTTTATTTTGAGTATTCAATACCATGTATCACCTACTAGTTTAATTAATTATATTTAGGAGAAATGTGGGATACCCCTAGTTTTGAAAATATATAGGAATAGGTCCTATGGATTTTTCTTCCCTAGTCATAAACTCAAATTCTAATGTTAATTTAAAACATCCGTTTTACTCTTTTAGTTACAATTTAAAACCCTACCTCCTAACATTTTATCCCACTCCCTTCCACATTTTTTCCAGCCGTCATTTCTCCCATCTCCCACTCTCTCTACCGACACACCATTTCAATTTAGAATGTACATAAAATTTATTAAGTTAACGGTCTAGTAAATGCAATATTGGGAGAATAGACCGAATATTGTTATAGTAGACGCGTAGATGTGAATGTGTGCAAATTGGTAGTTAACAAATAACAATTACATATTTATGACGATGTGTTAGCAAGTAAAGTCATGGTGACAAGATCAGGTAGTCTGTCGGTAAGTATCTTGCACCTAGGACCTATTTTGTCATGAATTCGCGTCGCCCGATGGGTAGTTGGAGAACCAATAACTATCATCTTTTAATATAAAAAAAAGAAAAGTTTTTATTCTAAGCTGCCCCACCAACGAAACCCAAGAAAGCAACGTTCCATCTATTCCATTGATTAAGGTTTTTGACTTTCCTCTCAATATGATTTTTATTTTGTTCTGTGTGTATGAAATATATTTAGTTAAAGTTTGCTTCTTTTATAAGTTGAGTGCTTGAATTCTTCGTTAAATGCACTTTCCATATTTAAATTGTGCCGCAGCACGACGTTATTTTATTTTATTTTATTCTCTTATTGAGATTGAAACAAAGCCTTTTTGTTTTAAGGGATTGAAACAGGGGTAGGGTTATTTCCAATGAAAAATCGAATTCAGGATTCCTATTTGCATCATGAAATATTAATTCAAGTAAAACTCTTGATTACTTTTCAAAAATGTACCCATTAAAAGTTCAGTAAAAAAAAATGAATCTTTGAATGATTCTCATACAAAAACTAAATTCATGTAACTTATATAGATACATTTTTATTTTTTATTTTAATACTGAGATTGAAACAGGGGCTCTTTTATTAGGGAATTGAAAGAGGGTTCTGTTTTTAGGGAATTGAAATATGGGTTTTACCTGGTACATTTTTTTTTATCTTTTATTGCATTCGGTCAGTTCTGTAAAAATGATGTATTTTGTTTTGCATCGTTAAATAGTAATATTGAGATATTTGTAATTTGGAACTGAGTTTTATGCGTATATTTGGAGATGTAACTCTAAAAGAGTTGAATTTATGCTATTTTAGTTAAAGTCGATAAATCTTTACTATGTTGTGCCCCTCTATGAATGTATCTAAAAAATTCGGGGGTGCCGCCCCCGAACAGTTGTATATTTTATTGTTTCGAATTCCTGGATCCGCCATTGATTGTCGCTATCTCTTTCTTTCATATCTGATCAGCCATGATGAGAATAAAGACCCGGAGGAACGCTAGAGTCAAACGGGAGCTTCAAAAACTCGCCCCCAAACTCGTAAGTGTTTGAATTCTGATGCACGAAACTTTTAATTGATGAACTTTATTTTACTTTTTTATTTTATGTTGATTATAATAGAAGATTTTGTAATTTATTTCAGGTGGAAACTGCAAAGAAGACGCTTATACTTCACGGCACCAAAACGAGCCATGTTTTGAATTCTCTGTTAACGGAAATTTATCATCTGAAGAAGGAAAACTCCGTCAAATATTCGCGTAAAAATGATAAAGTGAGGCCATTCGAGAGTGGTGGTGAAGCTTCTCTGGAGTTTTTCTCCCTCAAGACAGATTGCAGCCTGTTTGTGGTATGTTTTTCGGCATAGTGCGATGTGATTTTATTTTTCCTTTTTTTAAAAATAATATTTTACTCATGCCGAGCTCATATGAATGAATGATGATGTTATGTGTGAGTAATTTAACTTAGTTGGTTAATTGTGCTTATCAAATAAACTAGTTCATCTGTTCTTGTTTCCTAACATTGATGCTTATTTTTGATATGCTTATCAAATAAACTAGTTCATCTGTTCTTGTTTCCTAACATTGATGCTTATTTTTGATATGCAGTATGGTTCTCACTCAAAGAAGCGGCCAAACAATCTTGTACTCGGACGAACCTACGATCACCACATTTATGATCTTGTAGAGCTCGGCATTGAAAATTTTAAAAGCATGCAGTCTTTCTCGTATGACAAGAAGTTTGCTCCTCAAATGGGGTCAAAACCCTTCTTTGCTTTCATCGGAGAAGCTTTCGAGACAGTAGACGAGCTGAAACACTTAAAGGAAATTTTACTCGATCTATTCCGTGGGGAGGTTTGTCTCAATCAAATCATCCATTTCTCTTTTCTTGCTTGTGCTATTTTAATTGACAAGGATTTATTAATCTAGGTTATCACAAACTTGAACCTGGCTGGCCTAGATCGTGTTTATGTGTGCACAGCTTTGTCGGCGAATAAAATATTATTTTCTCACTGTGCGATGCGTCTGAAGAAGTCGGGCACTTCAGTACCGAAAATGGAGCTGATCGAGGTTGGGCCATCTATGGACATGGTTGTTCGTAGGCATCGTAACCCTGATGACAGCCTAAGAAGAGAAGCAATGAAAACACCACACGAGTTAATTAAGAAAAAGGTCTCGATCAATTGTTGGAATATTTTATTCGCAAATTTATTACAACAGAACAATCATTTTTTTCCTTTCTGATGATTGGTTTATTATATATCAGGAGAAAAATGTTGTCAAGGATGCTGTACAAGGCAAACTTGGGAAAATTTATATGCCGGATCAGCAGGTATAGCAAATTTATACGGAGTTATATTTTTTTTGGTTGTATATCTCATTATGCAATGTTTTGATTTACGAATGAATTTGTGAATGTAGGTTGGTGTAGTACCGCTTGCTAACAAAGCAAAGGGGGTGAAGAGGGAGCGACGTGAAGCTAAGATGAAGGGCGAGGGCCACAAACTTTCACTGAAGAAGCAAAAGCAGGATATTATTAATAATGCTGATGAGTGATTTTATTTAGTAGTTTTGTTGCAAAATCGATATATTTTGATTAATGGATGGGTACGTGAGTTTAGTGATGTAAAATGAGTTTTTAGCGAGACATGGTTCGTTTACTTTAGGATAATCTTAGCCATCTCGATAGAGCGAGTGATATATCTACGCCAATCTGATTTTATGCCATTTTGGTGGTGTTCAGCCTTTGCTCGATTTTTTTGATTTTGTTTTAGTTCTTTTCAACACATTATTCTAGATTAAAGATGATTTTCTCAATTATGCTCCATCAGTGAAATCTTTTCTGAGTACATATAAACTGACCCATCAATGTAATCACATTAAAGAAAGTAGGGACATATATATATATATATATATGTTTCAGAAAGACATCACTTAAACTAGGGGTGTTTACTAGGCCGGTAAACCAACCGAACCGAACAAAAAATTCAAGTACGTGACCGAACAAAAAAATTCGATTTGGTATTCAGTAAAGATTTTCTGGAATTCCCGCGTTCAGTATGGTATACAGTATTTGATGCCAGGTATATTATACTGTATTCAATGCCGAAATATTTAATATTTTTTTTAATTCTTTAATTTGCCCCGTGCGTTGCATGGTGTGTTGCACTAATGGATATCAAAAAGAAAAAAAAGGCAAAATAAATGCAGGTAAATAATATATATATATATATATATATATATATATATATATATATATATATATATATATATATATATATATATATATATATATATATATATATATATATATATATATATATATATATATATATATATATATATATATATATATATATATATATATATATATATATATATATATATATATATATATAGAGAGAGAGAGAGAGAGAGAGAGAGAGAGAGAGAGCTCGAAAACGAATAGTGACATTGAGATCATTTATGGAACAACTTAGGAATATTATAATTAAGGTGGGAAATGTTCATTGTTCAATGACAATTTTCGTCAACAAATTTAATCTAACAGAAAAGATGACATGATTTATTAGAGAGATATATGCGGATGAAGTAAATAGAAAATAAAGTGAAGAACTAATAATATCAATTATCAAATTGTTAACATTAATAATTTATGTTTTCTAGTGTTAACAACAAATTCATGTTTTCTATAAATATTCATATAATATGAAACATAGTGAAACATAGCAAACTAATAATTTATGTTTTCTATAACTCACCAATAAATTACGAAATTGTTAATACTAAAATTTTAGTTTGCTATGTCCAGTAACATTGATTTATGAAATTGTTATCAATTATGCAATTTATTGTTATCAAATATCAGTAAGTACAACATACAATCACTATGAAAAAATGTTCTCCATATATTGGTATACTACGAACTCTATATCGAATAGCAGATTTTTTAGCCTGGAAAAATAATAGAAAAAAATGGACAAAAAGATAAGTTTATGGAGAAGAAAATTACCATGATGAGTGAAAGAAAAAGAACGAAAACCTTCAGAATTGATATAGGAGCAATCGAAGTCTTCATTCTCGGAAATATCGTTCTTGCTTAGCTGTCGAACAATATTGATACAAGAGCAATCGTAAGACCTCGAACAATACTATTCTTGGTGTCATCTTTATATAGAGCAATTTATGGGAGTTGAGATTGAGAAATAATAGAGAAAAACGGTCAGCAGTTAATTAATGATTTGGATCGTGCTTAGTGATGGATGAAAGGAAAAAAAAAAGAAAAAAAAAAGTAACATGTGCTATAAAAAATGAGAGAAAAGTTAGTAGTAGACGGGAAAAAAAGAAAAAGAAAATAATTAAAAAAAAACACAAAACAAACGTGTTCTATAAAAAAGGAAGAATAAACAAATAAGTTTGAATGTGCTATAAAAAAGAAGAAAATAAAGGAAGCAAATATTTCACAAAAATATTTTACAAAATTGTTTTTAAGGTTTCGCGACAAAACCTTTCTTTTATATATAAAGAATAATAAAATACTTTTAGATTAGTAATTTTTCCATTATATACAAATTAGTATATTGATAATCATTTTCTTTTTGTTTTGGGGCCAATTATTGAAATTCGAATGTTATATTCAAGAATTAATTAGTTTAGATATACATATTTTTTCCATTTTATAAATATTAAAATACATTTTCAGTTTTACTGGTACCGAACCGAAAAAACCGAATTTAACCAAAATTTCAGCTTACGGAATTAGAGATAGGTCTAACTATACATTAACACTGCAAAAACACTCCGACTAAAAAGCAATTTAAAAAAAAAAAAGGTTTGCAGGTACTACCGATAACCTGAACAACATTCTTTGATGCCGTGGACTTTATAGAACTGTAATGTGTAATGTGTAATGTATTTGCTGTATATCGTAATGCGCTAAATGCTGTCTACTCCGTATAAAATTAAACCTCATCTAAGAAAGAAATAACTGACGTTTAACTCTGTTAAGCAGTCTCTGAAGAAGTCGACAAAATAATCCATCATCTTTTAAAATCAGATCCAACGAAGGACTTGAGCCTCCGCAGTAAACCAATGCAATGCTGATGAGAGGAAGAAGAGGCGGCAGAATTAAGGGTAACAAATCTTTGGCAGGGAGATTCCCATTTTGCCTCTAGATAAGAAAAGGATCTCCATGGAGGAAAGGGCATCGAATTTTGCTCAAGTGAATATTTAGCAGCTTCAGCCATTATTTGAAGAAGCTGTTTCAGCTTAGTCAGGGTACCGACGTATATTGCAGGCAGAGAACTTAGGACTACGTTGTAGCTCTTCACAGCTCTCGCTATTTGGAAGTGACTTCGGAAGTCAATGTCAATAATATACCTTTCGGAACCTCCACTTTTATTTTCATGTGCTATCACATCTATGAACTCGTGTTCGCCTACATTTCCAGGGAAAACAAAATAGTTGGTAAGCATTATAGTTATATTCACATTATAGGTTCGGAACTACCATGTAAAGCATCCAACTTGGAAAATTGAAAAATGTTTGAAAACACATGAAAAAATGAATGTAAATATATACCTCCAGGAAGTTTGCCAAAGACCTGCCACTTTGATTTACAGAGAGCTGCATCGTATCCTGAAGAATGCAGAAGCTTGACCAGAGAATAAATGATGCAGCTAGAATTAATGCACGCATCTGGTTTCTCTATTTGGCTTGTTTCCGATATTGAGAGAATAAGTGATTTGACAACCATTGTCAAGTCCCTTTCATACTGATCAACTGGCTGCTTATACATCTGCAAATTTCATATCAGTTAGAATGAATTTTCATCTTAAAATGGTCCCGGGAAAAGAATTATTTATAGCTCTTTTTTTTTTTTTTTTTTTTAATAATAGCTTACATGTTCTTTCACTTTAGGGTTCACAAAACACGCAACATATTCTTTTGTGATCATATCAAATATTAACCGTTTTAGGCATACCAGAAACACAGAGGTATGAAAACGGATAATAAATAAAGGAATTTTGGATTGATTGGATCAGGAATCGAAATCTGGATTCGGTATGGATAAAAGAACTTTCTATGTTATACTATTCAAGTCTCGACGACGGGTTTATTTGAAAGATCATATATTGTTATTTCATAATATTAATACGATTCGATATCATCGAGAGGTAATTAATTGAATTTACAGACGAAAAATTTATCATCTCTAGGGGATTAAATCCCGAGTTATTGCCAAGTAAAAAAACCGATAAGATTATGGAAGTCAATATTCTTGCATTTATTGCTACTGCACTATTCATTCTAGTTCCTACCGCCTTTCTACTTATCATTTACGTAAAAACAGTTAGTCAAAATGATTAATTCAATTGAATTTCAAGATGGACAATTATTTCAAAACCAATATGCTTTATCGAATATCCATAGGTTTTGAAAATGAGAATGATAATTAATACCAATAAGAAGAAAAAAGGAATAGAATTTAATAAAAAGAGAATGCGCTTAATAAATAGATCATATAACCACAATGGCATACCTCTCTTCAAAACCATGTGGGAAACCAAGGTCACGAAACGTCAAATATCAGTGCGAAAAACTTCATTTGGAATATACAAGGTAATACTTAATAGTAATACTAATAAAAGAAAAATCAAAGTCAAATGTCAACTATGCAAAAACAATCACACTGTTATTAAATACTTTTACAGACACGACTATGTGGAAGCCTAATGTGATGCCATAACATGAAATTTTTTGTAGCTTTATCCGAAAGCAGGTCACATGGATTGTCCGAGATCTTATTAGAACATGCCTATACTAGGCATGATGCCTATTTATACAGGAAACACAAACAATTTATGCACATCACGCACTGATAATACTCTTTTAAAAACCCCTCGTAGAAATTTAAATTAAAAAAGTCGTCATGGTTGCAAAGCTTAAAGGAAATCTACTATATTTTTAGTTAATTCACTCAATATAATTATTAGTGCTGAATAGAATGCACAAGCCTAAACGTATTTAGATTGAGGATCAAAATCAGAGGATACTAGCGAATAGGCTTAGAAATGGAAAATTGTATGCTCTTGAAAAAACTAGAACATAAATGGTTTGTGCAATTAAATCTCATTCAGCTTTTTCAAATTTAGGGCAACGAATGAGATATCCTCAGTCAGAAACTTTCAGATGAACCATCTCCCATCGTCTTCAAATATGAGGAGACTAATAAAATTAATTTGGTGGACATCCTAGTTCGGATGGAAGGATTTGGTTTTGAGGGAATTAATTGAGGAATAATTTCGAATAACTTCATATAAAGTGGATGTCGAATCCACCAAAATGGTTGAAAAAATAGTTTGAAGTTATCACTAAGGATTTGAAATTCATTGTAAACAAATTCATCCAAATAAGCGTAATCGATTCATTATTATAGATTTTTGAAGTTTAGCTTCAAATATTTCAATCTAAAGCAAACATGATGAAAGAACTTGTTCATGTGTCTTATTGGACATAGTCTTTTTCAAAGCAGATATCACAGAATTGAACCTTTAACAAATAAAGTTAATACATCTAGACATCTGGTTTTTGACGAAAAAACTCCAAGACCCTCACAGTGTTTTCGGAGTCGAATCTTTTGCATGTCAAACAGTAACGTCAAAAGTACCTCCTTACACGGTTTTCTCAAAGAAATTGTGTACCCCATGCTAGGTTAGAGTGTTCATCTAGTTTCATTTTACCCTCGGTTTTAATGCAGCAAAGAAGGTTCCCATTTGTTCATCCACCAAAATAAAATCTTTTTTTTACCAATTATCTTTATCCATAATTTTATTATAACAGACAAAATTTATATTGCTAATTTTCTCTTAAAGATCCTAGAGCCGTAATTACTTTTCGGGTAGAGAGGTCGAGACTTTCGTTGCCCCCTCGTTCCTCTCACAAACAAAATTGCTAAACACATCTCTCACACTCACCGCATCAATCAAATCGCAATTGCCACTATAACGATCACAATTTATCGGTCCAGTCCGATTATTTAAATCAACCAATCCCCGTAAAAATAGTTGGTACATCTCAAAAGGAACTAGAAGAAACTGCGTTATTCATTGCTAAAAAAATTAAAAACTCTCCAGGAAGTACATATTTAAAGTTTCAATTTTCATAATTAAGGATCATCCGGTAAAGAAACAAATTAATTCCTCGCACTTGATACCAATTGTTTAGGCTTGTGTTTAATTTCCTCAAAATTCACATACACCCACACACAGAAGAGACAATTGCTCAGTTGAACACAGCTATCGAAATGAAAAGGAAACAACAAATTAAAATACTAACCGAAATCCTGTCGGCGAGATCGGAGAAACCAGAGTCGCAGTCGCTGCTACACCAGGAATCAGATCCAGCACTTCCGATTTCAAGGAAATCGCTCACCATAGCGGCCAAATCGTGCTCACTTCCTGTGCTACGACATGAAAAATCGACGCCGCTGCCGCGCCGGTGCAACCAATTGTTGCCAACTAAGTTCATTCCTCCGCCGCCGATCGCCACCGGCGTTAGGTTACGCATCTCTGCAGCTGAAATATTACTGAGCAAAATGCAGGTAATTATCGTATTGATTCGAGATTTTTGATTCAGTTTCGGATGATCAAAGGTTTGGGGGGAAAAGTTGAAAGATAGAAAAAGGTGAAATGTGACGGGGTTTTAGTTTACGCGTTATTATTTATTTGACCAAGGTACAAAAGCACCGCACACTCTTGGACGTTTATACCCCTGGAGTCTACACTAAAGAACAAGTCATACGGTATAATAAACATTTAAAAAAATAATAATAAATTTAACTCGTGTTACGTTACAAATTAAGAAAGTAGGGATGGGGCAATATATCCTCATTGGCTCTCCCATATTTATATGCTACACCCGGTGAAGACTATACCGTGCGACTTTTACGGTTGATCTCTCTACACACCAATGTGTATGTATGTGTGTGTATATCAATGGTAAAGATCTACCCGGTGTATTTCATCTGACGTTAAATAGAATAAACCGTTACCTTCAAAAAAGGACAATAATTATTATTTACCTAAAATCTCTCATTTGTTGATTAAATTATTTTGACTTTTTCAATAATTAAATTAGAAATTTTAAAATCTTAACTCTCCCCTAATACGGTGTTGACAATTGTTGATGATCGTTAATCGATCGATGACAATAGGGGAGGCAGTGTGGGGTTGGTTGGGTGAAGGGGAGGTGGAGTTGGTTGGAGGAAGGGGAGTGGAGGTGGTGGTAACGAACGAAGGTATGAGATTATTTTTCGTGAAAATTGGCTAAAAGTACCTGAAAAATATTTAATATCGCTTAAAAGGTATAACATATTTCTCATTTTGCTTAAAGCCTCTACTTGGAGTGCAGTACCTTAGAGAGATTACTTAGAGAACTTATTTAGAGAGCTTAGATGCGTTCCATGAAATGCTTACCTATTTACAATCATCTATGCCCCAACTCATGTAGCCAAACTACACTATACATATAGAGCTTCGAGAGATTATTCAGAAAGCGTAAAAGCATTCCATGAATTTTAACATATTTACAATTATCTCTCCCGTAACTTCTATAGCCAAGCACCACATCACATAGAAAGCTAATGCAGAGAGCTTATTTTTACCTATTCACAATCATACTTCCCCAACTCCCGCAGTCAAACAAAATGAACCCTCAAGTTCTATAGCCATTTTCTCAAGAGAAAGAGTAACCATAGGCAAACCCGCTCGAAGAACCTCAATGACAAGGTAAGATGTCGGTGGAGGGGGGAAGACGGTGGTCGCAAAAATGTTACATCAAAGTTGTCGAAGCTATGATTAAATCTTAATTGAAAGGGTAATTTTGTCCATTAAAAGTAGAGGACTTTTAGTGAAATGCTAAAATCCCTTGAAAGGGTATTATCATTCATGGGTATATAACAAAATACTAAAATCCCTTGTCATTCTATAGTAAATTTAATGTGGTCTTTGTTCCTACCTTTCGAAATTAATAAAATTATTATAGCCTTTAGATATTTAATAATCGATCGGTGTGTGCATAATCTCTTATCATATTGAAGTCATCTACAAATAAGATGCTAGAATAATATATGAAGGGGCCGTTTAAACAATTGATTGAAGATTAACCTCACAAGTCATTGGTGAACTTAAATTTGAAGTAGAACAACTGAAATTCCACTGTTTGGAAGTGTTTCAAAGCTTATTCCAAACTTTTGTTCTTGAAAAGATATTCTGGAGAATAATTTGAGAATAAAATAAAGGGTGCGGCTATATGCAAGACTAATTCTACTTGTGCAAGATCAAATTAAATTTTTCAATGTACAAATACTATAATACCCTTAATTACTTGTTGAAAAAATAGAAAATTTCAAATGTGCAATACCAAAAACACAAAAACAAAAAAAACCGTATCACAAAACCGCAAGACCAACTCTCATCTTCTCCATCAAAACCTTTCTCCTTCCTCATCTATAAACCCACAAAACCTAAACATTCAAAATCATCAAAACTCAACAAATCTTACAAAGATGGCAAGTATGGAGTCAGAAGACATCAAAATAGAAGAATTTACGGTGGAAAAACCCAAGAAATTATGCATTTATGTGTTTTTTAGCTAGAATATCATTTTTCCAAAAAAAATCTCGCGCAGACGCAGTCGACATGTACATGTCGAATTTTATAGGCAAAAATCGACATTGAGATGTCGATTTTTTAGTACAAAATCGACACCTTTGTATCGAAATTTAACTGTTAGCAAATTAGTCCAAATATACTAAATTTCGACATTAAGGTGTCGAATTTATGGACATATATTCGACACTTTAATGTCGAAATTTAGTTGTTTCATATTTTTTTCAAAAAAAATCCCGCGAAGGCACGGTCGACATGTACATGTCGGATTTTATAGGTAAAAATCGACATTGAGATGTCGATTTTGGAGTACAAAATCGACACCTTAGTGTCGAAATTTAACTGTTAGCAAATTAGTTCAAATATACTAAATTTCGACATTAAGGTGTCGAATTTATGGACATATATTCGACACCTTAATGTCGAAATTTAGTTGTTTCATATATTTTTATTATTTGTTTTTTGGTTTTGCATGAGCAAACAAAAGCCAATTTAATTCATGGGTATATTTGTCATTTCATCTTAATAAAATGGAATTTTTTGGAATCTTTCTTTAATTTGGTCTTGCACAAGTAGAATTAGTATTGCATATCGCCGCAGCCTAAAATAAATCTTTGTGTATATTTTGGTAGGAAATAAAAAATATGTGGCACTTAAGTTATGTCCAAATCTATTAAAAAAATATAGATGTATTTGAAAATAAAATGATATTAGTTTTTTTAGTTACACCCTATTTAACCATATCAGTCAAATTAATATATTGATGATACTAAATTTCTGGCCATCGTTACCTTTTTATAACAAAACTTGTATGAATACTCAAAAAAAAAAAAAAAAATTATAACGGTTCACTAAAGTATCATTGCCGTGAAATAAATACATATATAGCCACCATATACGAGAAAATGAAAAGAGACAGTACACTAATTTAAATTTTTTTTTTCCTTTTTTTTTTTGAAGAAAAAGATAGTACACTAATTAGTAATTACTATTGATCAAATAGTTGCAATACGAGGGGTATAACAGTCCTTAATGGTTCAGCAAAAAAGGTCAGTGCTCAAAATGAAAATAATTGACAAATTGACATATGGATGGCGCCAGGGTTGTTCATGGGTCGGTTTTACCCGACAACCGACCCACTATCGGCCCGACTTTTGTGGCCGATAATTGCCCACCAACCGACCCGCTCTGGTCGGGCCGATAATTTTAACCGACCCATGTTTAGTTGGGTCGGGTATAGTTTCTAATATGATGAAAAGTCGGTTGGCCGATATTACCCGACCAACCGACTTTTTTTTTTATTTTTATATATAATATATATTATTTTAACCTTTGAGTGACTAACTCACTAAATTATTAGTAAATATTAAAACCCTAATCTTCAATTTCTAAAATGTATCGACCAAAACTAGAAGAGTACAGAACTCTGCATAATAAGCCACCATCTCCGCCGTCCATCTCCGCCGTGGCAAGCCACAACCAGGCTCACCGCCACCATCTCCGCCGTCCGCCGTGGCAAGCCACAACCAGGCTCACCGCCAGCACCAGTGGGCAACTACTTCCTACAACTCTCCACTTTATTCTCAAGATAGCCCTTTCTAGTTCTATAGATTTTCTAACTTCTACAATCTACACTGTAAAGGGCAAAACTCAAGGTTAGGCAATTTTCTTTTTCTCTAAGTAAAATTGGGCAATTCAGCATTTTTCCCAATTCGATTTGGTGTTATGAATTTGAAATCTGTAATTTGAAACTTCATTTTGGGATCATGGGATATAGTTTATTTGATTTTGGGAAGTAGTTTTATAATTGTTAGTGGATGAATTTTAATCAGGTTAGACAAAAAATCTGATTTTTTTTTTTTTTTTTTTTTTTTTAATTTTACTGTGGCCGATAATTTGCAACCGAACTATATCGGCAACCGACAAAGTCGGTTGCCAACCGTTACCCGACCCATAATAGTCGGGCCGATAATGGTTTTACATTTTTGCAATAGTCGGTTGGTCGGGTCGGGCCGATAATCGGCCGATATGCAACCAACCCGACCCATGAACAACCCTAGATGGCGGAGGCAAAAAATGTTGGTCAAAATTTCAAATCCTAAAGTTTCAGTCAACAATGGATGGGTTGACTATGACTCTTGAAGTCTACGTCTCGAATTATACACATGTAATCATAAATCCAATTCAAAATTACCTATTTACTATTTATTTATTTTTTATTTTTTATGTTGATGGTGTTGAAGTGAGAAAAAAACGGTATTTATTTTCGCCGCGCTCCCTTTAAAATATATATATATGTACGTCTAGGCTCGCTATAGAATTGCGAGGTTTTGAGGCAGTGCCCTCAATATTTAGAGGGAAAAAATACAAAATAAAAAATACTTGTATATTTTCTTAGAGTTAAGAGTGGAATTGCTGACTTAAGATATTGAGAAAAAATTTAAAGAGTTTGGGAAGAAAATATTGTGGATATCAGATAAATTTTAAATTTTGTTATAAATTCATATAGGGAGTTGCTAAAATTAATATCAATTTTTTTTTCACTTCAATACCATAAAAATAAAAATTAGATAATAAATAGGTAATGCCATAAATATTCTAATGAAAATTAATACCCCAAAACATTAAAAATTTCATGTTTCTTTCTTCAATACCAAACACATAAAACCCCTCAAAGTCCTCTCCTTCTTCACAAACCCATCAACCTCCTCCTTCTTCTTCCAGTTCACCGGGGCTCCGACCACCCAAGCCACCGCCGTAAAAAAAAAAAAAAAAAACTTTTTTTGAATAAACAAATAAAAGAAATAATAATCAAAATAAAATAAGATAAAAGAAACCTTAATCAGGGTTTGAAAGGGTCAAGGGTATAAGCTAATTATTTGGGTTTATATCAAATGAAACTTACAACTAATGAGTTTTACTCAAAAACATAAAAATATTTGTACATATTCCACATTATATAAGCTAGTGAGGGAGCTATCTCAAATAACCCTTTAAATATAAACTACCTTTCTATTAATAAGTAACTAGATTTTTGGCCCGTGCGATGCACATGATTGAAGTAAAATTAATACAAAAGTAAAGATCAATTTAAACGACAAAATTGAAGTTTCAATTCATTTTGATGTTTTGCTATATGTATTGATGATAATACTCCATCTATAAGCCATATTTGTTAATTTAACTTTATATTTTTTATGTCAAATGGTTGTATATTTATATTATCTCAGGTAAGGTAGAAGTTTGACGAATCTTCTTCGTTATCACCCATTACAGGCCCCAACAAATTTGTTATAAATCAATGATGCCATTAAATTTCAAAAGTTTATCGAACTTACTTTTATTAATAAAAAGAACCAAATGCTTTTCTAAATAATTAAATAATTTTCCCATTAAATTAATAGTAAGTAAAATGACAGTTTTAGTGGGAAAAAATATGTAGATTTGGGGCCACAAAGTTTGAATACTTAACGGATTTATTAAACTTGACTATATTAAATAAAATCAAACAATAAAATAAATGATAATTATAACTATCAAATGAGCGGGAAAAAATTCCTAGGATTTACCAGGAGCAACCTTACTTTTATTAATAAGATATTTATACGAGTACTCGGAATTCGATTTCTACTCTCATTGCAAGGGTTACAAAAGTTTAGTAATGGTGATGCTAATTGTTTATAGAGCTATTAATGGAAGAAAAAGACGAAGAAAAAGAGGAGGAAGAAGAGCGAAGAAGTGGAAGAGAAACGGAAGTGATTTTTTTTTTTTGAAGGAATTAGGGATTGTGATTATGAAAAGACAAAAAAAAAAAAAAAACACCCCTTCCAAATCGCAGATGCAACGCACATGGGTCTAATTCCTGCTATTTTCGCCTGAAAAAAAATGGTAATATGGCACAACTTATTAAGTTCAGGTGGGATATTAGAGTTGTTTTTTTTTTTTTTTTGTTGAGGTGGTAATCCGTAACAAACGGGCACATTGTAGGTGGTTTAATACTATTGATCCTACCAAATATTTAGTTTTCGCATGACCTTTGAATACATCTACTTTTTCTAAATTTCATATTTTATATGAACTAGAATAAAATTTTGAAGAAGCCATTATAATTAGTTTTTCTACTGCAAATAGAGATCAAAGGGTGATATTTATAATTAACTAATTAATTAGTTATATGAATTACATCACTATTAGTAATTTAACAAAGCCAGTTCATGATCATAGTACCCTTTATTTTCAAGGGAAAATTAGAGAAAAATTCCCCATCTAGGAAATATAGTTAAGAAAATACCCTCTCATAAAAATAATTAGAGAAAACTCCCTTAGTAAATATGCCACCAATGTGATACTTTCATAATTTGAAAATTACCCTTAATTATCTATTATACTTTTTCAAAACCCTAATATTATTTTTAAACTTATTACGCCGCTTTCTCGTTCTCTTCTTCTCTATGTTTCTCTCTTCTCTTCTTCTCTGTTTTCTCTCTTCTCTGTTTTCTTCCTTTTCTTTTTCTCTGTTTTTTCCGGCAATCTTCTCCGCCGCTGCCGCTGCCATCGCAGGAAGATGGAGAAAGAAAGAAGAGGAAGCACCCATTAAACATTATAAATGATTTTGATAGTGATTCTGAATTCGAATGCCAGGATTGCTACATCGGCGGCGAAAAGAGGTAAGATTGTCGATTTGTCGGCGAAATCGGATTTTGATGGGTGGTGGTTTTGCTTTGGTTGGTGGTGCGAGTTGTGATTTTATTTATTTATTTGTAATAAAAAAACCGTCATAATATCAAAGTAAGGTGGTGAAGGTGTGTTGTGGCGGCGGTGTGGTGACGATGGGGAGGCAGATTTAGGGTTTTTTGGTGGATCGGGCGGAGGACGACGCGTGTAGAGAATTTCGCGCAGGCTGAAACCTTAATCGACTATGTACATATTCATAGTCGATTAAGCTAATCGACTATGTTCTGAAGTCGATTAAGGTTGATCGACTCCAGTTTTTTTTTTTTTTTGGATTTCTTGTTCATTGATTTCAATTGTATAAATCATTTATAATTTTTGTATAATTTTTGTTTTTGTAATATGTAGTTGATTTTGCATTTTTTTGCTGTTGTGATTTGTTATTTTTAGTAGCAGATTCTTAATCGACTATGCTTCACATCATGGTCGATTAATATGCTTCATTGACTCCAATTTTTAATTTTTTTTGGATTTGTTGTTTATTGATTCCAATTGTATAAATCAATTATAATGTTTGTTTGTTTGTTTTTGTAAAATATAGTTGAATTTGTATTTTTGTAGTTGTGATTTGTTATTTTTAGTAGTCCGTTCCTTTATCGACTATAGTTCATCATAGTCGATTTAATATGCTTCATAGTCGATTAACGTACATGATAGAGAAAAAAAGTTAGAAAACGAAAAAAAAAATAAAAAAAATAAAAATGATAAAATTAATAATAATAATAAAATAATAATAATATAAAAAAATAAAAAATAAAAAGAGAGAAAGACACGGTTATGGGGATAGTGGGCTGATGGGTCAGGGGATGTGTAAGGTGGAGGGACATAAATGAAAAAATGCGTGGCTGAAATTTGGAGTGAGTTTTTCTCAAATGGTTCAAAATAGTTTGAACATTTGTTTATTAAAAGAAGTATTGAGGGGGTTATATCAAAGAGCCCCTATTTTCAAATTATAAGTGCCGTTTAATATTTCAATACTCGTATATATTAAGGAAAGCTAACACTCATCTATGGATCTTAGAAATAAAACTTACCTAAATAGCATTTGACCTCCTATGGTTACAAGCTTTTGCAGATGATTCTCTTGTGCTTGTAATCCGTTAGTTTCTACGTCAAAATTAACTGCCGGTGTCAAACATCAAAATACTATATTTTGCAGATGACCTCCTCGTGCCTACATTTTCCCTTTGAATTTTGTAGATGACCACCATGAAGTTTGACACGTACGGACGGAAAAACTAGCGAGCGCTGCCGCTATGAATTCTTTCGTATTTAAAAAAATAATCTAATGCACTATATATTAAAATTTAAAAATGATAGATAATATCTAAAAAAACACTTTTAAAGCTAAGTGATCCAATTAGTTAGAAATAGAGCCTAACAAAAACCGAAGATTTTATTGACTGATACAAACATTCAAGAGATCATACACAAGTAATGAAATTACTTGTAATAATATTGATAGGAGAGTGCGTACTCATTACATAAGAAAACCACAGTTATTACTTAATTATTACGACATACTTATTTTGAAAGCAATCCTATTTTATTTGAATGCATATAGATATATATGCGCAATGGCATTCTCATGATGAATATGTAAGATTCATTAGCCATTCCCGATCCAGGTGAGCGATTGGAGCTGGCGAACAACTTCGATGTCGAGTTGGAATCCCTTAACGAGAGCTTCAGGCATCACTGGAGGATCAGATCCAAACACGGACTTAGATAAAGTGACGACACCTGGATTTTGGCTGTTAAGACTAGCTATTGCAGCTGCCGTTTCGTTTCCGAGGTTGTACTGGAAATGAATGAGACCCTTTGGGAACACAAATACATCTCCTGGATTCAATATCTTTGCAAATAGCCTGTTTTTGTCACCTGGATTCGAAGGGTTCGATGAAATGAAGCCCGCATAAAGAGTGCCTTCCGTACATAGAAGAATTTCGGATGCGTGTGGATGCGAGTGCGGTGGGTTTACTCCCCCAACTGCAAAGTCGATTCGTACTAAAGAAATTCCGAGTGTGTTGAGACCAGCTAGCTGATTGATAAAAACAAGACTCACTTTTGACCCGTATTGACTTATTATTTCCCCGGGTTTGTTCAGACCCGTATGGTAGAAGTCGTCTGCTGTCACTGTTTTCGGGTCCTTGCATATCTTCCCATTCACAAGCACTGCCATGCATGCATTGCATTATCATATATATATATAGAGTCATAAATATATTTGATTTAATTCGAATAAAGAAAAAAACGAGGAAATTGTGAATTGATTAATTACCAGCGGCATCGGAATCGTTGACAGCTACGCAGAAATCCTGCAACGGGTTGGGATCGTAGGCATCCGCTAATAAAGAAACAAAAACGGAAAGAACTGCGAGGAATAACAAATTAATTCCAGACATTTTCATGTTAACAGAGTAGGTATGTGTATATATTTTCTTTGAATTTATTTTTAGAGGTAATTGTGATATGTAGAAAAAGAAAACGGGGTATGTATTTATAGCTGAAAATTAATCCTCAATTATGTTTGTTCAGCAGACTATTTTAGACCATGAGATATATATGTATCTTGGTCATCACTCAATTATTCTGAAAATGATGTAAAGTTCTAATTTTTTGTCATTTAATTAAAATGAGGAGTAAGTTTTATATACTTTGATAACATATGGTAGAGAATGCCTACTTTGCCACCTATATATTGTCCGGATATAATTAATGGGAAACTGAACAATACATATATATATCGTAATTAATTGTAATTATAATCGCAATTGTAGTTGTAATTGAAATTGTAGCAATTTTGAGTTTGGCTTATGATTTTTCATACTGTGCTCTCTGAAACGATTTTGTGTTTTGAAAAAAAGTCATTGAGATCTATTTTTATATGAAGTAGGAACAACATAAAGTACATCTGATACATTTTTTTTTAAATACAAATAGGCTTAGAATATAATATTTTTAGTTAAAAGTCTCTCAGTCATCAAATGATATATAACACTTGGTGAATATAACACTACGGGTTCAATTATGGCCCATGGGGTGTTTTAGAAACATAATTATAAAATAAATTAAAAAGGACACATGTCAAAGAAAGAGCGACCCGGTGAAAATCACCAAGTGTAGCATCGTATTCCCTGTATAAAGTGTTGATGGCCCCGTTTTTTCACCTTCTTTGTTGAGTTAATGGATTCATATCAATTCATCTCATCTAATTATGCCCTCAAACAAACAAAAACAAGATCTCATCTCTAACATTTTGAATAGGGGTGTAGATCGGACGAAACGAATCGGAAAAAATATATTTGCAAATTCTCCAATTTTTTCGTAAGTTAAAAATGTGTTTCAATTTCCGTTCCAAAAAATTTGGAGTTCAAAAATCTGCTAGGATTTCGGGATGCCCGGAATCGGCGGAATTTTAGAAATTCTAGAAGTTGCAGTAATTTATAAATTATAATCTATGTTACAAATTCGGATATAATGAAATATTTCACAATTTTTGTTTTCTATTTCCTTCAAGCAAAATGTAAGAAAATCCAAAAAAGAATTCAACAAAATCAGGATTCGCAATTCCAAATTCCTTTACAAAATATATCAGAAAAACTGGGATAAAAATACGATTTCAAATTCAAATATTTTCAAATCGAATTTAGCGTTTGGAAATTCCATTCCGATTTCCACCATTAATTTCGAACGACTTTCATTTGATTTTCCCCTTCCGGTAATTTGGCATTTCAAAATAGACAAGAAACCTACTAATCACTCGCCTTAGGGGGAAAATTGAGAAAAAATTAAAAAAATAAAAATTAAGATCCACTGTGTGATCAGCCATTTTATTGGATTTATCATTTATGTAATTATTATATTGGAAACTAATAATGTGGTCGTTATGAGGGCCCCGCTGTATTATTGAAAACTTGATAATGTGTTCGGGCCTATGTGGTACGGACACGGGAGCGCGGAAAAACTCTATTTTTCAAAAAGTTAGATACGAGAACATGGGGACGCGTAAATAATAAAAATATAGGGATAGATTCATAATTTCTAAAAAATATTATAATGTTTAATATCATTCCACAATACATTCGGGGTATATAAATTTATTTTAGTATGGAATTAAACATCTACAGAAATATTAAAACACCACTAGAAGTGAAAAGAAGACATAATATTTTGATTTATTTTGTGTGGAAACGTGTTTCTAATTTTTTATTATTATCAGAAAGGTCCCCGAAACTTTTAAATATTTATAAAAACGGCCCCGAAATGTTTTCGACAGGTGTTATGGAGTTTCGGTTTTCGAAACGTGGAAACACGTGTCGGTTGATGTTTCCGTGCATCATAGGTTCGGGGACATGTGGCTCTACGATTTATTTGATGTTACATAAGGTAAAATATACATCCAGTGAATATCGTTAATCTGCAATCACACATGCTTATGTGTATATATGTTCTTTAGAAAGTTATTTCACCCTATCAAAGATTAAAAATCACCCGATATTTTATCGAGTGATGTAGCATCTCAATGTCCGAGCTCCACACTCCACAATCATATTAAGATGGGACTCTATACTTCTAACATTTTTTTTCACAGCTTTTCAAAATTGAACTTCGGTCCATGACACCACTCTCTCTTGTTCCACCCATGCACTAGGCCACCCCTTACAAGGCATACCACCCAAGGTTGTAAAAAGTGGTAATCGGGTTGGAGGCGGTTAGGGACCGACTCACGATTAATCGGTGCGGTGGTAATTAATTCGTGTTAAATCGGAAATAAATCGGTTTTTAAAATTTAATATAATATATTTCAAGATATTATTTATAAATACTTAAAACATATATCAAAAGATATTGAAACATAGTTATATCTCCATCATGTATATATCCTAATAACATAATAAAAGATTATAATAATAATAAAATATCATAATACATAAATATCTTTATAAAATATAAATAAAAAGGAATTTTTTTGAATCTACATTTATTCTTGAACATTCTTGGCATACATCATTAGTTCTATAATAATAACATTTAACATAAACAAAATAAAGCATAAACTCATATATTTTTTTTTTATTAAAATCCCAACTTTTATTTTGAATTATAAAAAAAAAAAAAAAAAAAAAAAAAAACCGATTTTTGACCGATTTTTGCCACCGAAGTTTGACCCGCCCTAAAGGTTTGACCGCCTCAGACCGCCTAAAATGGCCTCACAAGCAAAAAACCGATTTTTCAAACCTTTACACTAAAATCGTAAAGGTTTTGGACCGCCTCGGCTGATTTTTAGAACAATTTTACCACCAGAGAAAATTGAAGAATATAATTTGCTCATATTTTGAAATTCTTCCAACTTTTTTTCCAAAATGAAAAAAAATGTGTGGTAAACTTTTCAAATTTGACCTATTCTTTTAGGAATTAAAAAAAATATTTAATCAGTTACAACATCAAATGTCTTCATGTAATACAAGCAAATATAAATTATTTTTTTCAAAATACTTTAGATATAATTTGACTTCAACATTTATCAAATCGAAATAAAGACCAGATGCACCACTAAGATAAGATGGTGGGGACCCACACATCATTCTATCACATGTTAGTTATTTCCAATTAATACATCAATCCAATAAGATGGCGGCTTATAAACTAGTCCAAAAATTCCCCCATTTTGAAATTGCATTGAGATCAATACTGTATCCAAAATCAGAAGCCAAATCCAAAATGAATACAAAATTACAATTACTTCATATATTTGTCATCAAGTTCGATTCATATTCATATTTTTATTTTCCATTTTTTTTCCTTGATAAATAGGTGGAAAAGTAGGCCTTGTGTACCATGTATATACATGCATACACGTACGTGAACTACTATAAATACATTACCTCGTTTCCTTTGCAGCATATTATCACAAGTACAACTACCTCTCAAAATAAATGCAAAATATATATAAACAAGGTATTATAATTTGTTTATAATCACATGAAAATGTCTGGAATTAATTTGTTATTCCTCGTAGTTCTTTCCGTTTTTGTTTCTTTATTAGCGGATGCCTACGATCCCAACCCGTTGCAGGATTTCTGCGTAGCTGTCAAGGATTCCGATGCTGCTGGTAATTAATCAATTCACAATTATTTCCTCGTTTTTTTCTTTATTCGAATTAAATCAAATATATTTATGACTCTATATATATGATAATGCAATGCATGCATGGCAGTGCTTGTGAATGGGAAGATATGCAAGGACCCGAAAACAGTGACATCAGACGACTTCTACCATACGGGTCTGAACAAACCCGGGGAAATAATAAGTCAATACGGGACAAAAGTGAGTCTTGTTTTTATCAATCAGCTAGCTGGTCTCAACACACTCGGAATTTCTTTAGTACGAATCGACTTTGCAGTTGGGGGAGTAAACCCACCGCACTCGCATCCACACGCATCCGAAGTTCTTCTATGTACGGAAGGCACTCTTTATGCGGGCTTCATTTCATCGAACCCTTCGAATCCAGGTGACAAAAACAGGCTATTTGCAAAGATATTGAATCCAGGAGATGTATTCGTGTTCCCAAAGGGTCTGATTCATTTCCAGTACAACCTCGGAAACGAAACGGCAGCTGCAATAGCTAGTCTTAACAGCCAAAATCCAGGTGTCGTCACTTTATCTAAATCCGTGTTTGGATCTGATCCTCCAGTGATGCCTGAAGCTCTCGTTAAGGGATTCCAGCTCGACATCGAAGTTGTTCGCCAGCTCCAATCGCTCACCTGGATCGGAAATGGCTAATATAATTAATATTAATTCTAGTGCCTATATATATTACAAATAATTTGTTAAATAACAGCCTTCAGAATTGTTGCTCTACTAAAATATGTGTGTTTCGTCATAATAAATGCCGTACGTTTTTTTCTAATAGTCTGTATATCATTCGATAAAGTTGTCTTTGTTTTGTTTGATTCGTCAAACATACTCCCTTCGTTTCAAATTTGTTTGTCGCTTTGCAGAAATTGATTCATTCTATATAGCGCTTTTAGAATTATAATCTATATACTCCCTCCGTTCCTAAATATGTGTCGTTTTTCACCTTGACACAAATCTTAAGAATCTCAATAAATATGTATTGATTTTAAGAAAATATGTATTAATGGACCAAAATACCCTTGTGTATTAATTAATGTAGGAAGAGTGATATAAAGTTAATAAGGGTAAAATTGAAAAATAAGAAATTAATGCAGCATTGGAATTGTAAAGTGACAGATAATATACAAAAGAAGTTCTCAAAAAAGACAGATATTATGAAACAGAAGGAGTAATTTAATACACATTAATTTTATCCCCGGTCCTTACAATATTAGTGAAACAATATATTTTAAAAACATTGATTCTTTCAAACATTTTAGTCATATTATATATTTACGTCCTAGATCCATCTATACATGATAGACTACTTTTGTAATTGAAGCCTTAAATTACATGACTTTTATTTTTTACAATTAACTTTATGAAATTTGATGTTGCACAGAAATGTAATTATTTATTTAATTATTTAATGAAGTAAATAAACATTTTATCCAATATTTTAAAAAATATACTATGTAATAAGGACAATAAAGAAATGTAGAAAAAACTTTGAACTAATCCTTCTCACAATGACATCATTAGAAACGTATCCAAGTTATTGTGGGATACACAGTATGGTAATTAACCATGAACATGTCAATAGTTAACTACTACACGAGAAAAATAAAATGAAGACCATTTCCACAGGAAAACCAAATAACGTTACCAGGCAATGTTGGAGACTTTTCAACTCTTTCTAAGATAATTATAAGTGTAAGAGAAACGTAGTTGACTATTTCAATTTGTATTCACTATAAATAGGCACCATTCTTATATATGCAATCTCATAATTAACTCAAACCAATTAAGCAATATAATCTCACTGAATATTAACTATGAAGATGACTCTTGTCTCCCTCACAGTTGTATTTGTTCTTGCATCTTTTGCTACATTGGGATATGCATCCGATCCCAGTCCTCTCCAAGATTTCTGCGTTGCTGTTAAGGATGCCGACGCTGCTGGTAATTAACTACACTTTCCAATCAATTATGTTTATATTATTAATTGCGTTACATGATATTTATATATGTTTTTTTTGCATGCATGTAGTTTTTGTGAATGGGAAGATTTGCAAGAACCCTGAACTGGTTGTGGCCGAAGATTTCATTTACCGGGGACTGAATAAACCCGGAAATACGTCAAATCCAATTGGATCAAGGGTCACTCCTGTCAATGTCAACCAACTACCTGGGCTGAACACTTTGGGCATTTCTGCTGTACGTATAGACTATGCACCAAACGGTCTAAACCCACCCCACACTCACCCACGTGCCACCGAGATTCTTGTGGTGTTGGAAGGCACTCTTTATGTTGGCTTTGTCACTTCAAATCCAGCTAACCCCGCCATTAAAAACAAGCTCTTCGCTAAGTATTTGTACCCTGGGGACGTTTTTGTCTTTCCAGAGGGTTTGATACATTTCCAATTTAATGTGGGAAAGACCAACGCGGTTGCCTTTGCTGGTCTGAGCAGCCAAAATCCAGGTGTCATTACTGTTGCGAACGCGGTGTTTGGTTCGGATCCACCAATTAATCCAGCCGTTCTGACAAAGGCATTCCAGGTCGAGAAGAACGTGATCGACTATCTTCAAGCACAGTTCTGGTGGAACATTGATTAAATACAAAGTTGATCATCATATAAAAGAATAGAAGTGTTTACTGTTTAATTAAGCTAATAAATTATATTGTCTGAAATAAAAGAATAGAAGTGTTTACTGTTTATGTACTCTGTGTGTGTACTTCATTTGTCACAATAAATGATATTGAGATTCAATTATAATTTGTATGATTATATTTATCCACTTGCACAACTCTCCTGGAGCTAGTTAGTTTATTTTGTATATATATATATATATATATATATATATATGAAAATGTAAGTAATATCACATAAGGGGTGGAGTTTTGTGTAAGGTCTAACTATTACAAAAACTCCACTCGTTCCAATTTAATCATTATGGATGTTCACAAAAGTATATATAATTAATATCATAATTTTCGCTGTTATGTGGCGCCGGAAAAAGAAGAGATAAATTTTTAATTTCACCGAAATTATGCCAACATGGCACACAATGTAGAGATATCTTGAAGATAGAGGAGGAAATTGCACCGTGGCATTCAATTTGACTTCAAATGTGCTATTTTTATTTTTAGCATTTTTCCATGTGCGATGATGCATGAGATAGCATTTTAAAAGTGAAAATAATGATTAGTTTAATACATGATAATAATATATATATAATAAAATATATTACTGATATCGGTAACAACATTAATATTTTATAAAAAAAATAATAATACAAATTGATTCCCAAAAAAAATATATAAACTTAATAGTCATAATATGAAATTGATCATTAAATAAATGAAGCAAAGAAGAATTAGAGAATAAACTGGAAAATATGAGATAAAAATAATAATAACAATTAAAAAGATATAAATGTAGTATATTATGATTGTGCTAGTTGAGATTTGGTGTGAAAGTAATTAGAAACAAAATGGCAAAATATACACATATATACAAAAAATATTATATTTTTACAAATATGCGATTAGGATTTCTTAGGTTACCCAATATTTCTTTCTTTTATATATATATATATATATATATATATATATATATATATATATATATATATATATATATATATATATATATATATATATATATATATATATATATATATATATATATATATATATATATATATATATATATATATATATATATATATATATATATATCAGTTGGCTTCAAATTACTGTGCTAAAAACCATAAAAATAATGAAAACCTTAATTCAATCCCAAATATAAAGAAAATATATGAATTAAGAACTTGAAGTAAATGTGTTTGGATCCAACAATAAATAAAGTAAAATAATATAAACAAATATTTTTCTTTGTAAACAAATATTCACAAAATTTTCAGGGTATTGAAGGTCAAAAGTATAAACTAAACCACCCTTAAAAAAAATATTGTTTCTAGATCGTTTACGAGTATGTGTTGATTATTAGACTGATGAACAAGTAGCTAGAAGAATTCTTCAAGACATGCAAGTTATTAAACGAGACTGATTCGGTAAAACAAGTCTTATCACCGGAAAAAAAAAAGAGAGAAAATCGACAATGTTTAGTAAGATATTCTTAACTGCTCCTCTTTGCTTAATCAAAGAAGATTATGTGTGGATGTTTCAAACCTATACTCACTTTGACTATATATTATATCCAAATCCTAATTAAATCATTGAAAATGAACCCATGTCACATTAAACAAATGAAGATAATTAAGAGAATTATTTAATCTTCATAAGTACTGCGTCACTAATTAACAACTACGCAAGAAACAATGACCATTTCTGGGAGATCGAATATATATATATATATATATATATATATATATATATATATATATATATATATATATATATATACTTTTCAACTGTTGTAAAATAATTACAATTATAAGAGAAACGATTCGCACCATAATTTCTATAAATAAGCATCATTTTTGTACTAATCTCATCATTTCGGGGGCTAAACAAGCCTGGAAACACGTCAAATCCACTAGGATCAAGAGTCACTCCTGTTAACGTAAACCAACTTCCTGGCCTCAACACTCTGGGCATTTCTGCTGCTCGTATAGACTATGCACCTTTAAACCCGCCCTACACTTATTCACGTGCCATTGAGATTCTAGTTGTGTCATAAGGCACTCTTTATGTTGGCTTTGTTACTTCAAATCCAGCTAACCCCGTCTTGAAAAACAAGCTCTTTGCAAAGTATTTGTATCCTGGGGACATGTTTGTCTTTCGAGAGGGTTTGATACATTTCCAATTTAATGTGGGAAAGAACAATGCTGTAGCATTTGCTGATCTGAGTAGCCAAAATTCAGGTGTCATTACTGTTGCGAACGTAGTATTTGGTTCGAATCCACAAATTAATCCAGCTGTCCTGATTAAGGGGTTCCAAGTTGAGAAGAACGTGATTGACCATCTTGAAGCACAATTTTGGACGAACACCGACTAAACACACGTAACTGACATATAAGAATCTTGTGTAGCTAATAAATAATATTATCTTAAATAAATTCATAGTACTCATGTGGTATACTTTGTACTTCCTTTGTCTTAATTAATAAATAATATGATTGTTTAAGTGTGTGATCCTTTCATCTAGCTTAGTTAAAACTTTATCCCTAATTGTCCATTGTCAATGAACCAATCTGAAGCTAAGTAATTAAACTTAACACAAGAGAGCACACGGTTGAACAAATCAATATCTAGTCGAAATCCTCATGAAATGAACAACCTTGCATTGTGATGGTGGACATTTTGGGAAAGCTTGGGCTTGGGCCTAAGCAACCCAAATCTTCATGGACCCATATATGCGATTAGGGATTCGTGGATCGCGATCTCGATCCGTGACTTTTTGGTCACTCTATGTAATTTGGCCCTACATCGCGATATGGATTCTGCGTCAATTTAAAATACTATTGTGATCCTCTTTCAACCCGAATTCGACAAATATGCAGTTCGGAAAAGTGGTAGCCCTGGAACTTGGCATTCCAACCCCACTTGAATCAGAGTAATCGAAGGTTGTATACAAGAGTTATAAAAAAAATACCAAACACTGCAACAATCCACTTGAATACACTTCGCAAATGTTTGGTTTGATGTTTGACTTCGTTTCCAAAATAGTTTCGAATCGGCAAAAATAGCTTATGTTCAGCTAAAACTGAAATAGAACAAGAAATACGTACATATAAAGTCTAAAACTCAGACGAACAAAGACGAGAACTTGAAGATTCCATAAGTAAAAATCGTGCAAAACGAACACTTATCACACCCTCAAACTTAGATCTTTACTCGTTCTGAGTAAATAAAAAAAAATACATCCTAAAAAGAAATAAAAATGAGATAAAACAATAAAATAAAAATAGACCACTTACATAGGTAATCACGATTGCATTTCATTGAACCAGACTTCAGGCTTGTTACGACGTCAAATTTTTTGGTTGTTCTTTATAGGCCCTTTTACACGTCAAATAGTGTATGCGTTCGTTGAAAGACTGACGTTTAATCTCATGCTATGACTGACGGTCGTGTTCATCGCCTACTCATCCAGTGCATCGCGCCCACTGAACAAGTGCATCTTTACTCTCAAATGCAATCGAAATTATGAAAAATTGACTATTATGAAAATTTAACTGAAATCATGTAACTCGAGTGTTTCCGTATGTTCATTAACATTTATGTATACTTCATGTTTTCAGATAAATATAGTAAACAAAATATTAAAGCAAAGAAAAAAAAAGTTCGCTTAAATTCACACGGGCACCTTCTCAAGTCTCGTGTATATTCACATGACCGGTACTCACAAAGGTGCTCATGTGAATTCACATGAAAACACACACACAAAAAAAACAAATATATATTCATTTGTTTTTACAAACTCAAGAAAAAAAATTATGTTTTAGTGTGATATTACACGACCAGAGAAAAACACGAGATATTTATTTCTGTATTTTTGTAGAGAAAAACATCAAAGGGTAATGGTATGGTCCCTAAAATGGAGTCATTAGGGCCAGAGATGTATCCATATGAGCCATTGGTGACTGGTCATCTACCTCTTGTAAATTCTAATTTTATTTGAAAAAATTCCATTGTATTTGTGATAACTAGTATTCATTTTTCTCTTGAACTTATCTTCTTCGTCTCTTCCTTGTGTTTGTTAATCTCTTTCTTGTGTTTGTTAATCTTGCGAAGTAAACTTGGAATAATTTGGCCTGATCTTTCACGCATTGGAGGATCAATCCAACACAAAGTAGTTGCATCCTCCAAGTTCCTAAAAATTTTCGACCTAAAAAATTATAAAAAAATAAATTTCGAAACAAAGAAAAAAATAGGTATTCAAATAGGAAAATTTACCCTGTAGTTGAGGCAAGTTGAGTATCTTCTTGATGAATTCAAGTCGGTCCATGAAGTTCTTGAGATTGGCCTTCTTAAACAGTAGCAATTGACATCCATTTTTGAGAAATAAGAAAGGGAACAAAAAAAACAAGGTAAAAAGTTGAGGCATAGGGGTAAGAAATATATGAAATAAAAATTGGGAAAACATGGAGCCAAAAAAACGAGGGAAATAAGTTGGGTAGGGTTGGATGTGAAGTGAATAGACGTTTCTATCCTCAAGTCATGTCACTCACGCGCAGGGGATACTGGCTAAAATCAAACGAAAATTGAAAAATTGGGACACCGTGCAACAAATTATTGAGTTCAAGTACAATTTTGCCCATTTTTTTAGTCCAGGGGGTAAGGTGCAAAACGGACAATAGTTTGGGCGGCAAAGTGAACCCTTTTAAATATGTAGAAATTGCACTTCTTGGTGTACCAATGAAAATAGAGTTTATGGGGATTATGTTTACATTCAGAGATTTTAATTGCTACATTCTTCTACATAAACAAATTCGATTGTTGAACTTAATAGCTTCTCATTGATATTGTTGTTGTTGGTTGTATTTGAGAATGCATTTTTTGTCAGAAATTTTGTGTATAAATGATTTTTTTTGTTTTTTTTTTTCCCTTTCTTTTCCACCTTCGACGATCGAATTTCCAAAGGTCATTTGCAAAATGTGGGTTGTTGGCTCAATTTTATTCGTCCCCAAATTTTGTAAGGGTAGTACGGGGATTTCTTGAAAATATACTGCAACCGGCAGAAAAATTGGCTTCCAGGGATGATATTAAATGAAATTAAAACTACAGGGGAACGTTTGTTTTTTACTCGAAAGATGAGGGACTAAAATGAAATATCCAGCAAACTTTGAAGTCTTCTCTACCGACTGACTGGGTGTAAAATCAATAAATTATTTACGGTAACAAACACTCTCTCTCCCCTTTTCTCCCTCCATTCGTGTAAAATAATGGGCAGGAAATTCTTCGTAGGCGGCAACTGGAAATGCGTATGTCTCTCGCTTTTCTAATCTTCCAGTAATTATCACTAATTTTTTTGTTGTTGAATTTATTGTACGAGTCTGATGAAATTTCGTTCAATAGTATATTAATTCATTCTTGTTTAGGGTTAATAATGAATCGTATGTATGTATATATATCAAACCCTAGTTACAAGATCAAGAAAGTGACGAGCGTGATAGTGATTCTTGTTTTCTTGTAATTAGTTTAATTTTGCTGTATCATGAAATTTGATTAGTTTTTTAGCTAGAGAGTACTAGGTTAACTAAGAATAGTTGTTTGAGATAGTTGCCAGTTTAATTTTGTTTCGGTGCTGAGTTTATTTATTTTTCCATGTATTCGATTAATTCACCCCTTGTATTTTTACAACTTGGAATTCGACATTTTCATCGTTTCTTGGATACGATGTCATTTATTTCAGCTTGTTCTTGGATGACCTTTTAACTGTATTTCATCAGACCCAATATAATCTTGGGGAATATCAGAAATTGATCAATAAATTTTGAAAAAAAGTTGGCATTTGTGTGATACGAAACAATCTTATGACGGGTTGGTAATAAAATCACGTTTATACCCATAACACCCTTTTCTCCCTTTATTTTTTACTTTTTTCCTCTGTGCAAGACTTACGAGCAGTTGTGTCATAGACTTGCTGTGTAGAATTAATTTTGAGAATTTACTGTTGTATGTATGGCCGTCGGTCGAGCATTGCAGAATGGAACGACTGAGGAGGTAAAGAAGATTGTGACCACTCTAAACGAAGCTGAAGTGCCTTCAGAAGATGATGTAGGTGAGTATTTCGGATCTTAATTTCAATAAGGTTACTTGTTGTGACGGAGCACTCATTTTATGTAGATGATTTTTTTTACGGGTCTTTTGTTTATCACCTAAGTTTGCCTCGTGTTTTTTATTTTTTCCGGCAGAGGTTGTTGTAAGCCCTCCATTTGTGTTTCTTCCAATTGTGAAGACTTTATTGCGCTCTGATTTCTCTATTGCTGCACAAAACTGTTGGGTGAGGAAAGGTGGTGCTTTTACTGGCGAGATTAGGTACGTACTTAAGGTGCATTCACCTTCTTATTTCATGATATCTGCCTCAACATCGACGCGTTAACCTTCTTTTTTGGATGCTAATTACAGTCTGAGCTGTTCTTACAATCGGGCTCTGTGTTTTCAATAGCTACTCTTACAGCCCTATTAGGTTTTCTATATATTCGTAGTAGCTATTGTCGAAAGATTTACTTTCACTAATGTGGGGTACTGGAGTTTACTTTACTAAGAGTTTTTTTAATGTAGATGCACACTAACTAAGAATTTTTTTGAACAGTCTTGATTTTGATTTGTAGGGGAAAAAATCTTTACTTTACAAAAATACCCCTGTGTAGATTTCCACCTTCTCTTTCTAATTTCATTAATCTATCATTACTGTTGGGGGTAAAGTTGAAAAAAAAAAAAAAAAATTATGCATTGAAACTCCAAAGTGACACTTATTATGTGCTTTGTAGATACCGATATTATGTTATCTAGCTTTATTGTTTGTCTTTTGATAATTAATTGGTTCTCTTACTGGTTTGCAGTGTGGAGATGCTACTGAATTTGGGTGTTCCTTGGGTTATCCTAGGTCACTCTGAAAGAAGACTCGTATTAAACGAATCGAATGATGTAACCCCACTACAACCGATGTTTTTTTTTCTTATAAATAATCAACGACTAACAGACAGTTTATATTGTTGTGGAGTTAGTTTGTTGGGGATAAGGTTGCTTATGCAGTTGATCAAGGCTTGAATGTGATAGCCTGTGTCGGTGAGACACTGGAGCAGCGAGAATCGGGATCTACAATGGCTGTTGTTGCTTCACAGACCAAATCAATCGCAGGTATATACATATTTCACGATATTTATTTATTAATTTTATTTAAAAAGATCAAGTGCGGTGGTGTTTTTTAATTTGTTGAATTTGGTTAACTAGCACCGTAATAATGTAGTTGTCGACATTGATTTGTAGAGAGAGTGTCAAGCTGGTCGAATATTGTTTTGGCTTACGAGCCCGTTTGGGCCATTGGGACAGGCAAAGTTGCAACTCCATCACAAGCTCAGCAAGTAACTTCCCTGCAATTATTTGTTTTCTTTACCTTTTTTTTTAATCATTTTTTATATTAAAATGATATGCTCGATAGTCAAAGTTTATCGAGTAAGGCTCACACTTAACTTACAAATCCTTCGCCACCTGGATTTGTCATCTTTATCTACAAATTATGTGTATTATTCGGAAAGGTTGTCGCTAAATAATCGTTAATTTCACAGCTTTCGCTCTAAATTATTGGATTTATTTTTAGTCAGTTAAAGATTTAAGATAACAATTTCGTGCAGGTTCATTTGGAATTGAGGAAATGGCTTAATGACAATGCTGGTGCACAAGTTGCTGCATCTACGAGAATTATTTACGGAGGTATGTAGTTTGACTGTGTTCTATCTATTGCATTTGTAAATGTCAAAGAGGATGCCATAGTGTTTTGCTAGGACTTGGAAAAATGCTTGAATTTGCCCTCGAAATTTGCTGGGGGTAATAATGCAATACTATGCCTAAAAGAATAAATTGGAATTAATTCCAATCTTATGCTACACCTCTTCTATATGTAGGAGACTAGGTTCCTAGTGGGGTCTTAATTCTTCTACTTTAAATTTTATCTTTATTGATATAGGGTCAATTACGAACAACCCCTTAAAGTGGTAAAGCTAAATTATTGAGAAAAAACCCCCAAAATTCAGGGTGTTATTTCGTAAGTTGACCTTACCCAAGTGGTCTTCATAAATAAACCCTGGAGATACTATTTTATTTAATTATAAATAAATATCTTCTATTTAATATAATACAAGTGAAAACATTTATGATAAATATCAACTATGCTGGGTGTTTTACCAATTTCATAAAGAAGGCACAATAATGAAAACATATTATTTCTAGAGAAATTAGGCATTGTAATTATAGTGTTGATGAAGGCCGGTCAAAGGCCATAAACTGAAAATTGCACAACCATTGCATTGACAATTAATATTCACATAAATTTATCTGCCCTTATTAAACACTTGATAAATTTCTTTGTTTTAGTTGCTATGTCGCATAGTAAGGGACAAAACCGTCATATTGATATTTTTTACGGACTTAGCCTGCTACAATCTAGGTAGAAATGTATCTATAATGTATAAGTATAAACCTATATTTTTAATATTTACATGTTTCCCCATGTTCGCGTGTCCTTTTTTATGATTATATATTTACAAACCCATAATTGTATGTAATGAATAGAAGAACCCAAATATTCCATAATATTTTCCGACCAGAATTATTTTTACATACGTCCTTTGTAAACTGAAAGGTTCCGTAAATGGAGCAAACTGCAAAGAGTTGGCTATGCAGCCTGATGTGGATGGCTTTTTGGTTGGTGGAGCATCTTTAAAGGTATATTGCTTTAATTTGTCGTCTGTCACATTTTTTGAATATTCGACTTTCGTATTTAATTTAATCCTTTTTTTTTTCCGATTCAGCCGGAGTTCGTTGATATCATCAAGTCAGCAACTGTGAAGAAGAGTACCCAGACTTGAAAATTTGGATAATTACATGTTTGAATTTAGACAGTGTAACGAATATTAGGAATCAACAATACTTGTGTACTGAATGGTTTGTGTAGTTAATCTAGTATTCCTGCCTTTTAACTTATTTTATATTTCACATATGTGGTTAGAGTTTGTGAAAGCTCTATGGTACATAGGTGGTGTTTGCAAAAGCTTACTTAAAAGCAAGAGTTTGTGATTCTGAGTTAAGGGGATATTAAATTTTTATTTGTAAAAGTTGGGGGTGTTTGTAAATATGCCGGAAAATTTACTGAAATAGAAAGAACAAGTTTTAGGGGTGCTTTTAAAAAAATAGTTTAAAGCAACTTATTTTTAGAGAAGGAAAAGAAAAAATTGATTTTACAAACATCTAAAAACAGATTACGAGCAAAAAAAAAAAACTCCGAAGTTGTTTCAAAAAGCTTTTGCAAACACCGCCATAGGACTAGTAGGTATTTTCTTATGAAATTGGTTGTTAAATAAATGAATCAATTAATAAAGAAAATAATAATAATAATAAAAAAATTATTACAAAATACGTAGAGGAAAAAAATAGAATATATATTTTTAAGATGCCATTACAAAGAACGGTGAATAATAAAAAAAGACGCAAATCGTTGCACTGAGATAAGAATGAAAAAAATAAAGAAAAGATATAATAAAAAAAAGTTAGTAGAGAAAAAAAAATTACTAAAAATTTCTTAGCGTTTCTTAGGGTTGCCCTAGCCGTTCTTTCTTAAAATTAATAATATTTATTGTAGCAAAAATACCATTAAGTCAAATCAATCAAATCCCCAAAAAATATCTCTATCAAAACAAATTCCCAAACATCTATCTTCTAATTATTAACTAAACAATTAAATTAATTCATTAAAAAACTATAATATTTATATTGCAAACTCATACTCTAAAAACGCCATCGCCGCCGCGTCACCGCCTATGACTTCGTACACTATGAGGCTTATGACTCTGTGAACTGCAAATAGCAAACTGAAAATTATATTATTGAATTGCAAACAACAAAATACCCACGAATTTGCATTATTGAATTGCAAACAAAAAACTACCTATTACTTCGTCAAATGCAAACAGCGAACTGAAGAAAAAGAATAAGCAGAACTGGTTCCGGAAGTGGTAAGTTGGTGCAAGGTCGTATGATCAAATCCTGACAGCCGCAGTGTGGGAATTTCAACTCCAATGAGGGTTGGTTCCTTATGGGCACCAAGTCCGGGTCCGCTACCTTAACGGGCCGTTGAGTTACCATGATTTACGTTCCTCCATCAATCCTTGTCGGGCCAAGGGATGGAGGCCCTGGGGGCGAGGGATTTCGCCTTTTTTTTGTGCAAGCAAACTGAAAAAAAAAATCAGCATCACTAAATACATCAAAAAAATTGTTTGTGGAACACGTTGCAAACAACAAAAACATTGAACAAAGTGTTTGTAAAAATGTAACTTAAGAAATACCTTACAAATTGTAAACCAGAGGAATCGAATATCAACACCAAACGCAATTTTTCAAAATACAAACGAAGTTAAACCAACCTCCCAACGAAAATTACTACCAACAAAAGATGGGAAGGTTCCACATACGGAAGACACAATGCGAATTTTGGCTAGGGTTTTGGATTTCTGATTTTTTTTTTTTTTTTTTTGGCAGGGGGAGGGGATGTTTGTTGTCCTCTTTAATTCTTCACCGAGAAATCATCTCATAATCTAAAAGATTCCTTTTTTCATTCTCTATAATATTTCTTCATAAAAAAATTAAGAAAAAGAAAAAAAAATATATATAGAGAGAGAGAGAGAGAGAGAGAGAGATAGAGAGAGAGATGCGAGATTAAATATATGGTGAGATAGACGTGAGATTGGAGAGAGATGAAGTGTTATATAAAATTTGTTTTCTTATTAATTAAGGATATGTATGTCTATATACTAATTATTTATTTTTGTTCAAATGACATATGCCTATATTTATCTAGCAATTAGGATCTGCACCTATATAAGTTCAAAATAAAGGGTGTCTAGCAAATTTCCGCTTTAATTTATTATGAATGTACATACAATGAATGTAAAATAATAGGTTGGTTGCAAGTATAAAGATGATCAATGGTTGTGATCTATGTTATTTATTATCTTGCTGTTAGGGTGGTCTCTTCGTCGAGTGATCAACTTTCCACGAGACATTTATGAAGACTAGTTTGTTCGATTACTGTTATTAAGTTCTTTTTTTCTTTTTTCCTTTTGGGTAAATAAGTTTCATCTAATCGGTAGTAAGGAAATTCAAACTTAGGTCGATTAATACAAACACACGTACTCCAACTGCTAAGTCATCTCTTGTGCGATTTATTAAGTTCAATTGACTATATAAGACGTGGTAAATAAGTCATAAAGTTTAAACGTTAGTAAACATTAATTCGACAATATTCGTACTTTTAAACTTACCACCAAAGTTGAAATACACAATAAAATGTTGTTAATTGATCAAAATAGTAGTAGCACTGCGATTAACTTTGTAGAAGTTGCTAGAAAAAATAAACCAATTTTATCCTTCAAATCATATATTGATTTTGGTAAGATCTTTTGGAGATAATAAATTATATATAATATTAGATTTTAGCAGATGTTTTGATGTTATGGCATTGCATAACATGGTCTATTTGAAAGAGAGGAACTCGAAAATATTTCAAGGAAAATATTTATCAAGCGAATCAATGGTAGAATCCATCAAAATCAAAACTTGGTCGTTGATAAAAGCATTGCAACTACATTCATCCTCGTACGGCATTTCAGATTGGTTTATCGCCCCACTATTGTTTAAATTTTGCTAATATCTCTCGAAAGTCTTAATGTAGCCAACACCATGTAATATGTATTCTGGAAAGTGTGGGAGTGTATATTGTACAATCGCACATCTTGCGCTTGTTTAATATAATCGTCTTTTTCCGGAAAAAAAACAAAAAGAATAGATTCATCCTAACGAGCCAACATCTTACTACCTAAACAATTGATTAGTCATTAGACAATTAATTCAATCTCATTTAATCTAAATGAACTAGATATAGGAAATTGAATAAGGCCGAAGTGATCTAAGAGTAGGGCTCATTTGAGATACCTTCCTCGGCCCCTAGTAAATTAGAGAAAAACCCAAGCTAAAATTATACTTATGGATACCCCATGGATCGACAAAGTACTTAACATTACGTCTAATTGAATAGAACTGGCGACCTCCCATTAAAACAGAGTATTGAAATCTCTCTTATAACGCGCAATTCCCAACAACATAGCTACTCAAACACGCAACAAATATGTGAATGTTATCTTCTCATACATTCTTCGTTTCTGCAAAACTTTTGAAACCGCCCATCTTCACCCAAATCTGCTCCCAAACCTCCAATGATGTCTAATTTGTACAACCTCTACAACAAAAAAAATGGTGAAAACAATAAAAGCAAACATACAATTTGGGTGTTTTCTTTACAAATCTATCAATTTACAGTGACTAGGTTTAGTCACCGTCTGTCATATAAGATCTTTGTAGTATTTTATTGTTCTAAAACCAAAAAAACACTGATTCTCTGTACATGCGGTTGAAAAATGGCGAACGAACACAACGACATCAATATCTGAATGTAACAACATAACATGAATCACTTAAAACTACCTGAAAACATACATTAACACTGCTCACGCTGGCCGCATATAGAAATGTCAAATATGCAAATACAACTACATGTTACAACGGACATAACATCAAAATCCTTCACTTCTGAGTATCTATGCCCCAACGAAACAACGCCATGCAAAAATTCGCTATGAACAACAAACAGCGGTGTCGCGATCATATCCTCTACACGATAATTCAAAAAAAAACTCGACATGAAATAATTACGACGGAGGAAATGACTTTCTTCCAGATTTTTCTCCAAATGTTCCTTCAATAAGGTACGCGTGTTACGTTGCGCAAGCGGAAATAATGCGCTTGTGAAAGACAAACAACCAAAATGAAATAATACGTTTACCTTACGTGGATTTTGTATTTATATTTTATTATATTTGTGTTTTAATTGGTATAGTTTGTATTTTATGTGTAAAGCCATAAATAGGTGTTCATGAAGGAAAAATCATAAAAATTAAGGAAAAAATGGCAATTTCGAGCTTTGTAGTTCGAAGTTATTTTTGCAATTTCGGCAATTGTTGATTCGTTTAGAATAGAGCTTGTAAATTTTGTTGAAATAGCATCTACCGTAATAAAATGAGTTATATATCTGCAAATATAATTACAATGTTAAATGGGTACTTTACTAGTACTGCAGCAACCTTTATCCAATTTGTTCGGAAATGTTTAGTTATTTTTTGTACGTATCAAATTAAAGTCAATATAATATTGTACTACCCAAAATATGTTTAGATTTAATTATATTTGTGTTACAATTGGTATAGTTTGTATTTTATAAGTGCAAATCCATAATTATGTGTCCATAAAGGAAAAACCATAAAAAAGAAAGAAAAAGAAAATGCAATTTCGGGCTTTGTAGTTGGAAGTTATTTTTGCTTTTATTATTCCCCTATAAAAGAAAATGTAATTTTCGTGATGTTCCATATCGGCAATTGTTGATTCGTTTATAATAGAGCTTGCAATTTTTTTTCGAAATAGCATCTATCGTAATAAAATGAGTATCTGCAAATATAGGGTAAATTACAATCAACCCCCTGAGGTATGATCAAATTACAAAATAATCTCTCTTGTTTGGATAATTACAACCACCACTCAACTATAAATCTTTTTACACGTCCACCCATGCAGTTTCAAATTTCGTGGAATTTTCGAGATTATATGGATTATTATCACTTTTGTACTCGTTTTATCCTATTCGAACTCCACATTTTAAAGCAAGATGATCATAATATATGTTTTTAATCTAGTATAAACCAGATTGTGGTGCATCAGAAACTGTTTTGTGTACAAACTAGAGCACATTTCACGAAATCTAAATGATTATGTTGAATTTGACACTATAAGGGTACAAATGTAATTATCCAAACATGAGGGATTTTTTCATAAATTGACCATACCTCAGGGATGGTTGTAAATTACCCGCAAATATAAGTCCAATTTCAAATGGGGTACGTACTATAGTACTGCAGCTACTTTTATCCAATTTGTCCGGAAACTTTTGTTATCTTTTGTACGTAGCAAAATTAAAGTCAATATAATATTGTACTACCCTAAATTTTCTGAGTGTACTACTCCTCTAATTAAATGATCACAACTACCTTAGCCTTTCCATCTTATCTCGTGGCCTCGTACAATTAACCCAACCTCAATCTTCATCCTATCCCAGCAATATATAACATAACATAACATAACATTCACCGGAGAAAAGTATAACTCGCGGAGATGAACGACGGAGGCCACATGCACGGCATGGCGGCGCCGCCGCCATTAGGAGGAGGCAATTATTCGTCCAACGGCACAACAACGATGACGATGCACCGCCGCCACATGATGATGCACATGACGTTTTTCTGGGGCAAGAACGCCGAGATCTTGTTCAACGGATGGCCGGGCTACGACCATCTGGGCATGTACGTATTAGCACTAGCTGTGGTATTTTCCCTTGCCCTCGCCGTCGAATGGCTCTCCCACTGCAACATTCTCCGGCCGGAAACCGCCTCCAGCCGGCGGGGATCGGCGGCGGCGGCGATTGGGGTGATGCAGACGGTGTTGTATGCAGTGAGGATTGGGTTGGCGTACCTTGTTATGCTGGCCGTCATGTCTTTCAACGCCGGTGTGTTTCTTGTTGCTATTGCCGGACACGGTGTCGGATTTTTCTTGTTTGGGAGTAGGGCTTTTAACAAACAGAATCATTCTTCCGGCAAAACTTCTGATCTTCCGCCGATGAACTGTTGATGTAGCTTTTGAAATTGTTCTCATAGGTCTGATGATTTGTCTTTCAAATGTAAGATTTTGTTGATCGTTCCCTATTTACTCTTTGGATCAATAGAATAGAAAGATTTTGTAATTTATTTTGTGATATTTCTGTACGCGCTACTGATCAAGGAATTATTCGTATTTCAATTACTCCATATCCCAATTTTTTCACCTAATGTAGGTGTTTTTACCTTCCCAATTTATATCTAAAATTACGAAGATTTGGTTTTAGTCTATCATTGTGGTCAAACCATATATCACTATATTATCAAATTCTATATTTTGACCCAATTTTTTGGTGAAAATTTTTGTAACTCCTTCCCCTTCCACTATTTTACCATTTTTTTTCTTCACAAAATCCTATTTTTCATATCAAATATAGAAATTAAAATAGAATTTGCTGTAATTAATACTATTTTATAATTAACATATAAAATTATTATATTAACTAATTTCATGTGATTACGAATTTATAAACATATATATAGAAAATATATTATTGTTAATTAATGAACTAGTGTTCAAAAGATTAATTATTATTATTATTATTATTTTTATTATTATTATTATTATTATTAAATAAATATAAATATGTTTGGCTCTTATAAGTTATATGTTTAAACAATAAATATGTTTATTATCAAAACCTACAAAACATAACATTATATCGGAACATAAAAAATTACAAGACAAATTATATAAATCAAATACATATAAACTACTTAGCAGCCTCTTTTTTTTCCTAGCCAAATTTTTCTTTTATTGATTCAAAGGGGTCTCGTTAAAACCTTGTTTGGCCTAACAAGGAAAGAGTACCCCTTATTTTCTCAGATTAATAGTCTTGACTATCATAGTTCGAATTAGAGAAATGTCCATCGCCAGTAGGTTTGCCATAGTTGCATTTTCTGTTGTTGTTTGGAGATTCCGGGACATAAACATCTTCATCACTTGGTCCACTTCCCTCTGCACTAAAATTCAAATTCCTAGCAGCTTCTGACATGCTTTCCCTATTAATGATGACTTGTTTCTTATCACTCTAGAGTTGTTTACTAAAGGGTGTGAGAATACTCAAATCCACTCTCATAACCTCCATATCTTGTTCAGAAGCCTTTAATTTTAGTTTTTTTTTTCTTTAGTGTCTATTTTTTTCTGCTTAAGGCTCGCCAATAAATCCGAACGCGCTTCTCTTCGCCTCTCCATATCTAAGTACTCTTCATACTGTTTTTGCATGAGATCTTGGCTCTTTCCAGCATAGTTCATCATCTCCGGCATGCCACATGGGATCCTTTTTCTTTTGTGAGTCTTTTTTTTTGTTTTCGCTCCTTTCATTCCCCTTGGTCTGTCCTGTGGGTCACTATGTCCAAGAGGAGATGATGAATTATCTCCAAGAGGAAATGAAGTACCGTTTATCTAAGAGTCAATCATGCTGCGTTTCGTACAGAAACGGGTC